CCTCCCACTCCTTTCCATCCCTGGGATGTCCTTCGTAATAGCCTTTCTTCAGGAAGTATCTCATGATGAATTTCACCTCACTGCTCCTCACTCAAAGTATCTGCTTAGTGTTTTGTTCTCCATGTGTACAATCTTAACTTATACTTGAGCTACCACACTGTCTTCTAAATTTGCTCTGTCAGGGCTTGCCTCTCAACTATTAGTGGTGAAGAGTCAAGTTGTTTTGTTAATTTTTTAATCTGCCACTGACTCCTCTTTTTGTAAATTACGATAAAATTAAAATACCATAAATATAATAACGAATAGATGTGGAGTCCAAATTTTTTATTAAGTTCAACAAATGTAAAATGAGTTCTCCAAATTGCTATAAAATTTTCCAGATATTTAATGTAATTCCTGCACTCATGTTATTGTGGACTAGTTACAGTGCGAGGGATGGTCTCAAAGCCTGGGGACCACCCTTTGTGCAGCCCTATTGTTTCACAGGTACTTTACACAAGATCCTTCCCAGGTTCTTGGCCATACAAAGGATGGTTCTCAAAGGGCCAGAATGGGGCCTCCGACTCGCTCTGTGTCTCATCCCTCTAACCATCTAATGCCATCTTCCTCATAAAAAATACAGTGATCAACGATTTATGCCTTTTAAAATAAGCCTCTCTAATAATTTTAAGTATGTTATGCCACCATCAAAGTAACTATTAGAAAAATAAGGATATGGATGAGAAGAAAATGTCAACCCACAGGCCGTTTTATCAAATAAGACTTTTCAATAATGGTCTAGAGTACAGGATTAGTTCTCACCCTGAACCCTGTTTGTCACACTGATCATTAAAGCCTAGTACAGGCTTTGCAAAGAGAGGGCACTCAAAATTAACTGAATAAAATCATCTAGTCAGTGCAGCCAAATTAATGATTATAAGTAATTTTAAAAAAAGTAATTGTAGGTTTTTAAAATAATCCTGAAAATCCTCCTGAGAAATTAGACAGTCGGTGTCATGTGCCAGTGAGTGAGACCACACTAGAAAAATAAGAGTCTCTACTCCTCTGATTTGCTATTTTAATATTTTCAAATACACTACAGACATATAAAAATTTCAGATATACTTTGTAATTATTAGAACATTAAAACCTAAATTATAGAATGTGTTATATTCTTACTGGTTCTTTCCCATCCATGGCTTCAAGCCAGAGTTTCCGATTAGCTTCTGAGAAGGCCTGCAATGTGATGATCCCATGCCTATCAAAAACAAATGTTTTATATATTCAGTTTATTCCTGTTATACATTTATAATATTTTAAATTCTTATTTAACTATAACGGTAAAATGTGAAGAAAAATCAGGAAAGATAAAAA